CAGATTTCGTCTCTATATATGTCTGTTGCTTCTGATGACGAAACTGAAGGTTTCATTTTCTCATAATGATGATAGTTATTTGTTTTACTAGGCAGTCTACAGTTGCTGCCGTGTGAAACATAGAATTTTTTCTACAAATTATATAAAACCAATTTTGTGTAATTTTTTCAGCCACAAATTTTTACCGCCTAGGCAATGAAAGTACACCTTTTCTGCGGCAGGAAAAAAAAAACACTATTCCTGCCGCTTGGAGAAAAATATAATAATTGTGTGATCGGTCAAAGATGAGTCTTCACTTCTATTCATGAAAAATAGAGATTCCTCATTAATAACAAATGGCAACCAAATTGCAATAATATATGGCACCTAATTGATGCGATACAGACTCAAAATACTCAGATAAGTTTTTTGTGAAATTTGTAAAATTTGTATATTATCACTACCTCGAAGTTGGGAACCGACCTCTCATGAGTCGAAACTTATTTGGGGCCAGGAAGAACAAGACCTATACCTCATAGTACAACTCGAACCACTATCAGGACATCGAGATACTGCCAGGATTGCAACCAAGAAGAAATGTCCAGCTGAGCCGGATTCGAACCGACAACACCTTCCTAGAGAATAACCGATAATAACCACATAATAATTCAACACAATCCTGCGTGCATCATCTGATAATACGGAGCTTCAATATAAAATACGACTGTCCCGTATTCCTAGATATCTAGAATATATTTTGATTTGTGTTGACGTCGGACGGGTCAATAACAGCCATGTCGTACAAAATAGAACGAGCCCTAGCCCGTGACTCGACTCGAATATCGGACTTGCTTAACTCTGATCTATCTATCAAAAGTTTATCCTGGTCGATAATGCAATTTCCAGCGACCGAAGGCTGTTCTGAACGGAGCAAAAATGAGAGGCATGACAGTTATTACGGCAGCTGGAGATTACAGTTTTTGCTTCGTTGGATAATCTGAATATGAGCGCTTGATTTAATTCAATTGAAGTGGACATGAATATCTTGGTTCATCAAATCTACCATTTTCGTAGGTGTCAAATTGTAAGGGATATCAAGAAGCAAAGTTTTGCCCTAGTGATGGTACTTCTACATATTTATCCTCTGAAAAGACCTAACGCTATATTTTGATAAGAAAATCAATCTAAATGTGTTCAATACCGCTATGATATTGAACGATATATTATCTTATTATATCCACTTTTTCATTCACAAGATTCATGAACTCAGCATATCAATTCTCATGTGATGACTAAGAAATACGCATAACTTTCAAAGGTACTTCTCATAATGAGATCCAGATATTATCACCATTACTCTGAATATTATAGAAAAATATGTTCAATTTTCTTAAAATTGTATGACCATGGAAACAAATCTGAATTTTCGAAGAACGGCACGGCTAGGCGCACAAAACATCATAATTGTCCAACTGATATTTTACTGAGAAAAAAATCGGGAGATACCAATTTATTTATAATTCATGTCAATATGTCTTCTGAGTCATCTAAGCCGCTCAGCTGTTCATCTAAAAGTTCGAAGTTATATTGATTTCACTCAGAAATATTTCAATATTCAGTTATCGATCATGGTTCTCGATACTTGAATGAAATTCATGAATGTGAGTTACTAAAAAAAATATATTACATCTGAGTCACTAATGTTGAGTTGTGATGAAAATGGCAGCAAAATACAACGAGATGTTCCTTCAGTTTTCGTCACATTTCTATGTATTCCTTCATGAAACTTTCGATGAGAGTCGTGCAGCGGCTTCATTGACGCACTCAATTTCGATGAATGTTTTTATATCCTTCACGTAGAAGAATAGTTTTCCATCATACAAGGGACAGAAAAATGTAGATTCCAAATTTTGTATACTTCCATTTTTTGTGAACAAGGAAGAATCAACATCAAGAAGATATCACATTATATTGAAATCAGAAAACTATCAACGTGAAATCTGAAGTTCTCATTAGGAATTTCACTTGCGTTGTGGGCTTTTTTTTGCAGGCATCTCTATGATTCTCTCGAGTTATTCAAATATCTGTCAGTCTGAGTAAGGGGATAGAACTGAGAATCTCCTCTGGGTATGCAGTCAAAAAAGAAGAGAGTGTAAGCTTGTTTCTGGTCAAGATTCGAACATATTATTTCCAACAGTTTATTACATTATTTCGATCCACAACCACTATTGAACGTTTTAGTAGAACTGTGAAACCTTCAATCAACTATTGTTAATCTCAATGGTTAGAAATTCACATATTCACGTCAAAAACACGTAGAGAATTGAAGAAATAATTAATTGATATCAAATGAGTAGTTGAAAAAGTGTTCGTGTACCGTAGAGCCGTGTGACTTTGCACCAGATTTGACACATTTATCGTTATAACTTGCCTATTTTCGAAAAAAGTAGTGCCAGTTCGAGCTACATATAATTTCAATTCATCAGCTATGCATTGCAGTTATCATAAATTGAAAAAGTAGTCACCTCATTGTTTATTTTATTTCTTTTAATATTCGGCAAAGTCACTCGCGAATCGGTGACACTTTGCCAATGCCTTGAAATTGCTCTTCTTTGCATATTCAGAGAATGGCGTAGGTATATTTGCCAACAAAAGAAGTTTTCAAAGACATCAATGAAGACGAGAGGGCACATATTGAACCAACTGTACTTGAATGAAGATGAATATATTATATATCATAACAAAATCAGTATCGAAATGATGATATCTTCTGGAAGATATGGTACATATGAGTCTTTAACATATGATGTGTCGTCAACATAAGGATATACAAACTTTTTTTTTTAATATATTACCATATATTCATCGTCTTCTAATTTTATCACTCCACCCACATTTCGTAATGATGCATGATGGTTACCATCATTAGATATTTCATCAGCCAGAATGTCATTTGGAATATTCATATCATCCAAGCTGACGTCCTCATTCATCAAGAATTCATCGCACGCCCTATCAATTTGCCAGATTCGACTTTCAGCATTTTTTTTCTAGAAGCTATAAGAGTACCTCATGGGGACCTGTTATCTTTCGAGTATTCGTGTAAAGTGTCATTCACTGATTTTCGTATGTGTTCTTGCGCTCGTTGGCTGGGTTACTCCTTCAAGACTTGAATTCTGCTTAATGTCATTTTCCCAGTAGCTCTATATACACTTTTTATATTTCACTACACTGTTTCACCACTAACCAAACCGATTTTTCAACGCCTCGACACGTGTTTCGCTAACTATGTTAGCATCTTCAGGAGAAGATTAAAACTGACTGAGTTTCAATCTTCTCCTGAAGATGCTAACATAGTTAGCGAAACACGTGTCGAGGCGTTGAAAAATCGGTTTGGTTAGTGGTAAAACAGTGTAGTGTATTATCGTGCCAAAGGTTCCAGTCTTCGATATACTTTTCATATTGTTAATATCACTCAACTTCAACTCATCAACTGGCTTTTTCAGTAATGTGGAAAATGTGGTTTTGTTGAGGGTTCTTCCTTCTGGTTTCTGAAGTTTCTAGTTCGTGAAAAGTTTCTTTCAACAACGTTTGAATGGGCCATAATATCGAACATATAGGGGCTGTGTCAGATGCGTTGAGTTGGGTGACAGCAGGACGAAATTGATATTTGCAGTGATGACAACGAAATGTGACTATAGATTTTCGCCTATCAAGAGCTTCCGTCCTAGTGAATTTTTGGCTCAGGAACGAGTTATTGTAGTGAACCAATCTTCAAAACAAACAGAATCGAACCACCCAGAATTACTATGTTATATCTCTTTGTATACGACGTATACTGGCAAACTGTTCCCATTACCGGTTATCACTGATGTAGCTGACTTCGGAATATTCATCAACCTCTCCGGATATCTTGTTCATCTTCGAAAAATACATTCACGTGAACCAGAATGGTCATCAAGATTTGTTTCGTCGTAGTTCAGCACATTTTCTGATGGAACATCTCCTGAACTCCATTTTAGATTGTCGAGCCCTTGCCCTCTCGATATTCAGACAACTCCTCTGAGTTAAAAGATTATTATGTGTTTCGATGGAATTGAGACAAATCAAGAAAAGTCCTGCACATGACTGTATCTGAAAATAATATCAAAATCAGTGGCAAAGTCACCCGACATATCACAAGAATCCATAAAATTCACAAAATCACATGACTTGGTGAAAAGAATATTAGTTATTTGTCTTGTACATGACAGTTAATGCATACAAACTATCCAAGAAGGAGCAAAAGTATTTACCACTCATCATAATTCGTGCATAATCCTCAGTGAATTTAACATATAGGGAAATGGAAAACTCATCAACCCAAGTAATGCACAAGACGACACAATCGTGACTGCTTGCTGCGAATCATCAAAACAGTTTCAGACCTGTTCAAGTTAATTTTCAATTAACTTTCAAGAAATAAATTCAAACAAAATATTGAGTACCACTGATTTGGCAGTCACCTCGAATGACAAAGTCACACGGCTCTAGGAACCGGTGAAAAACATGTATTTCAGCGACATTCTTGCGTTATTTCATCCAACCGTTGTTAAGATTTCACAACGTCATTCAGACGCTTTCCGACTTGAGCGTGTTTACTGGGAAAAACTTTTTCAATTGAATTAAAAAGGCATATGGATTAGTTTCAATAAAAACAAAGCATGTTTTACAGGAAAAGAGTTGAAAATATTCTCGGAAATAGACATTTCTGAGAAACATGTTCTTCAATTCGGCCCACCTATCACAGATTCTCGCAGATTCCTTTTATTGAACGAACTGATTGGAATACAAAAATGGTGGTTGCTGATTTTTTTGAATGTCAGATTTCAGTTAGATGTCTCAAATGTTGTAGTCGCATTCTCAACTGCTCCTAAATAAAATAAATCCGACCGATGTGAAGTAGTGAATTATTTTTTGCCTGTAAGTTCGTATTATTATTATTACTTGACATCTCTGAAGTTGTATATAATCCTCATAAAATGAGCACAAGAAGCAAATTAGATATGAATAATATAATAAGAGATTCTATCAATGAATTATTCCAAGATGCCGATTTCATAGGCCAATTGACAAAAACGCTGTCTGATAAAATTGAACAAAAACTCAAAGCCATATCGGAAGAAATAAAAAGTCAGAATGAGAGACTGATATCGGTTGAACAAAAACTCGATTCCATCCAGCAGCAAACTAAATCTAATAATGTGTGTATATACGGGGTACCCGAAATGAATAATGAAAATACGAAAGATGTCATACTCGAAAATCTCTCCTCGAATTCGGTGATAAATCTCCAAGAGAGGGACATAATAAGCTGCTTCAGGGTCGGGACTCCCTCTAATAATAAGAAGAAACCCAGACCTATTATACTGAAGTTTCGAGACCCAAAAGAAAAAGTCAAGTTATTTAAAAATGTGAAAAACTTGAAAAATAAATCAATATTCATAACAGAAGACTTAACTCACAATAGAAGAATCCTACTAAAGTCAGCGAAAACATCACTTCCAGGCAAAAAAATATGGACCTTCAAGGGGCAGATTTTTATCAAAATAAATGATACCAATGTGAAGATTTCTTCAATGCAAGATATTCAGCAGTACGCTGGATAAAAAATATAATGAATGATGAATAATTAACCCCTTATTACTATTTAGTTTATAAAAGTATATTTCACTCATTTTGTTCTTTGATATATGTTAATATAACCAAATGTAGGAGTAGTTTTGATGCCACAAATGGCATGCTAACATTCTTTATTCAACTTTAATTTTCTATAAACTAATTATTGTTACCTACCTACTTAATTTCTTATTATATAGTTACTCATATTTCTTTTTTCGAGAAGGGAACGTATATACTAATTATTTCCTATCATGTTAGATTTTTTGAATTCTCTAGAGAATTATGAGGAAAGGAAGACAAAAATCTGTGAGAATATCGTGGACAACCTATCTCTAATCTCTAATAAATATCTCAACATTTTTCACTTCAATATAAGAAGTATGAGGAAGAATTTTGATGAACTTCTACTGTATATTGAAAAATTTCAACCAAACAACATTGATATACTTGTACTCTCTGAATCATGGGTATTGGATAATTTCGAAGTTTTTAATATACCGGGATTCAACAAATATTATAGTGATTCGCGTTTCAACCAAAACGATGGGGTTGTGGTTTATGTAAGAAGTGAAATTTCTGCCGATTTAATGATTATAAATTTAACAGAAACAAAATTAATCAAAATAAGCTTCGACATCAATAACAATTCCTATTCCATAATTGCAACCTACAGACCTCCCTCTACAAATGTAGACATTTTTTTAAAAGATATTGAGAACTACTTGAAAACTCTTGCAGCAGCAGATTATAATGTAGTGATAGGAGACATTAATATCAACTTATTGGATACTGATTCCTTAATTGTTAATAAGTATATATGCCTGATGGCAGAATTAGAATATTTTTCGTACATAACGGAACCTACTAGAGAATCTCATAACTCTTCATCCATTATCGATCATATATTTGTGAAAATTTCCAACAAAGCTGAAAACAGTGTTAATAAATTGAACTCATACATCTTCAAAACAAATTTAACTGATCACTATACAGTGCTCTTATCCATTGATTTGAACAGTGATAAAAAAGCTAATACAAATATCATGAGAGAGAACATAATTATAAATCATAGAAAATTGTCTTCCCTATTCAATAATGAAAAGTGGCATTCGATCTACGAATCTCAGGAACCGGAAGCGGCTTACACGTCTTTCAATAACAAAATTTGTGAATTTCTGCAACAAAGCTCCCAGGTAAAAGTATTAAAAAACAACAAGTATAACATTAAACTGAAACCATGGATGACTCAAGGGCTACTAAATTCAATCCGTAGAAGAGACCTGTTGAAAAAAAAATTGAATAGACACTACAATGAAGAAAACAGTCAAGAATATAAAACCTATAGAAATTTTCTGAACAATCTAATCAAAACAACCAAACAAGAATTCTATAAAACAAAAATCGTGAATTCCCAAAAAAATATAAAAAAACTTTGGAAAAATATAAATGAAATAACTAATGAAAAACGTCAAAACACTTCGGACTTTAGTATAATTGACGAGAAAAACCAAAAAATTACATCAGATAAAGAAATAGCAAATCATTTTAATGAATTCTTTACGAGTATTGGAACACAAATGGCAAACAAAATCGAAAAACCAACTACTCTACATGATCACCGTATCACAGAGACCGTAAACAATCGAGATGCTATCTTCCTTCGACCTATAACTAAAAATGAAATAATACACATTATATCTGAATTGAAAAATAATACCTCACCTGGTCCAGATAAAATTTCAGTAGAGCTAATAAAAAAGTATCATCTGCATCTAGTTGACCCTTTATGTCACATCTTGAATTTAATTTTTAAAATAGGAACAGTTCCATCTGCATTCAGAGAATCCTTAACCACACCTATATTCAAATCTGGGAACAAAAAAATATCAAACAACTACAGACCAATAACGGTGATTAATAACTTCACAAAAGTCTTTGAGAAATGCTTAAAAAATAGAATCATGAATTATTGTGAAAAAAATAATATACTATCAGTCTCACAATTTGGATTCAGAGAGAACTGTTCCACAGAAAAAGCAGTCTTTGAGTTAACTAAAACACTCCTGAATTGCTTTGATAATAAACAAAAATGTATGACCGTATTTCTGGACTTGGCCAAGGCATTCGATACGGTAAATCATAACATTCTGTTTCAGAGACTGGAAAGCTCTGGCATAAGAGGTCTTCCTCTAGAATTAATTAGGAATTATTTAACAGACCGCAAACAAATAACAAAAATTAATAATACTTTAAGTGATCCTTTACCGGTATCCATGGGCGTGCCACAGGGGACAGTATTGGGACCAGTTTTCTTTTTACTTTATATTAACAGCCTTTATAACTTGCAAGATATAAAAGGAAAACTCATCTCTTATGCTGATGATACCGCTATTGTATTCATAGGGGATAATTGGGAAGAAACATATAAAAAAGCGGAACAAGGACTCAAAAAAATATACAGCTGGCTTAGTGAAAGTATGCTTAGCTTGAATATTGATAAAACGAAATTTATTACTTTTTCACCCACAATAAGAGATCAACCCTTAAATGAAAATATTCGACTCCATGGATCCGGCTGTACAAATGACTTCGACTGCGCATGTTCTATGATAAAAAAAATCGATAATATAAAGTACTTGGGAGTAATAATTGACCAACATATTCGTTGGAATGAACACATCAATTATACTACAACGAGACTACGTAAATTGACTTACAAATTTTACCAGTTGAAAAATATTCTGAATGAAAAAAATAAAATAATGGTGTACGATGCCTTGGCTGAGTCCATTATTCGCTATTGCATTATTGTTTGGGGTGGGACTTTTCGAACTTCCCTTCACTGCTTAGAAGTTACACAGAATACTCTACTGAAAATACTGTTCAATAAAAACAGAAGATTTGGAACTGAGCAACTTTATAATGAAATAGGAATAATAAATCTAAAGCAGCTGTATTGCCACCAATGCCTCATCTGGACAAAAAACTCTATATTCTCTCCTACATTACATTATCATCATACTCGAAGAACAGCAAGGCAAGAAATTCCAATTCCCTTGTTTAAAACCACAATCACACAAAAATTTGTAACCTATTATGGTCCCAAACTTTTCAATCTACTACCCTCTGATATTAGAAATATACAAAATAAAAATAAATTCAAAAAGCAAGCCAAAATCTTTGTTCAAATGTATTATAAGGATATCCTGAAATCAGTTCTCGAATAATTATTAATTATTCTTACAATATATTGCAATTACCAGTGATATTCTCTTTTCGTTTCTTCCTTTCCTTATAACACTCATAGGAATGATTGATTGTAATTCATTTTAATCTGCTAGTAGGTAGATATTTCTTTTTTTTTGTTAGTAATTCAACATAAAAATGTATGAGAGAATGGCCCACAATACAAGCTTAGCTTAGGTGGCTTCTCTCATGAAAAATTATTGTAAAAATCTAATTGAATAAACTTACTTACTTACTTACTTACTTCACATCATCGACTTCTTTGAGCATTCAAATTAGTTTTTTACTTCCTGGTATCTCATATATCAATCAAAGGATTACTTTTTATGCTAGGTAGCAAAATGATTGTTCTCAATGGAGATTGAACATTTAACATTCTTCAACAAAAATCATCCATCAGCGATATTTACATATAACTTCCGAAAAGAATATGATAGACATATTTCTAGTTGTTTTTAATAATGATTGTATAGGCCACTTTCCCTTTCCTCAGATATCAATTTCTACCAAATCTTGTTCGAATTCGTCACTACAGAAAGAATAACAAAATTGTGATAGTTTCTTGGGAACAATATCATACATATATCATTATCAACTCGCTAGTGAACTAGAATGACTGCCTTCGGTGAATTCCTAGCTTCGCTTTGCTCGGTTATGAAGTATCAGCCGCAACTGTCAATCTACTACTTTGCTGCCTAGTGAAACTGAAACTACTCCACTGCTCTTGGTGTCGTATAGCTATGAAATCAATTTTCGGAATTCATCTTACACAATCATTCATAGTCCAATTTCTAGATAGGTTCTTGATTACTTTCATAGCCCTGAGTCACTAGAAAACACCATTTTTGCGTGAGTTACATGCGTCATTCTACAACATGTTCCTTGAGACAACCTTCATTTACTTGTTGATGTGAAAACGTGATGATATTTCCAATTTTGATTAACCTGAACATCAGTTCAAAGATGTTCTGCTGTACCGGCTACCTCCTATGTAATTATAGAGAGTTTCATCGGTAACAGATTTTGAAACATATCATCATATTATTAGATTCGATTTTGTCTCTATATTCATTCAATCAGTTCCATGAGAGTCGTATTTTTTCAATTCTCGATGATCTGATGTATTATTGCCTCATTGGAAAAATTATTGAAGAGTTTAAACCCACCAAAATTGGATTGATTTCAATTCAGTGAAAACCTCGAACATTTTTCCCGGAACAATGCTGAAATGGATTGGTTCTGTAGAATATTTAATTGACAATATCAATCCTGCATTGGATATCGCACAGTTCTGAATTGATTGGAATGTATTGTGATTCTCAAAAAATCGAAATCATGTGCCATGTGGTGCCAGTGAAGAATGATCAGTTTATCAGGACGTGAGCAGAATATTATATATTTATCTGAGAGAAGGATACAATCAAATCACTGAACATTTCCAGAGTGATTTTCATTTATGTGTTCACAATTCTGAAATTCAATGGCTGCGAAGAAAATGTTCCTCATTTCCGCGAATGTGACACTTTCTGTGTATTTTTTTTTTCAATATTATATTAATTGCGTGCTCAAGTTCGCATTTGACCATTTCCCACAATTCAAACTCAACTTATATGTTCTTTCAGAGATTGGAACATATACTGAAATCTCATTTTGCACTGATTTTCCCGAATCATTTATTAATATCTTATGTAATAATCCAAGAAGAGAGAATAAGTAAACTGATTAACAAAATGAACGTCTTGGTCCATAATATAGGCTGATATTTTCAAAATTGAATTACTCATGGATTCCATAACTGACTTTCATTCCATCCTATATTTATAGTCGTCTAGCTCAATCTTTCGGTTCCATGTCAGAGTTGAATGAGACTAAAAGTGTTTCAGATGAACGATCAACAATATTTGAAA